TGAAAGCCAGTAGGGTGACTTTGGGCCAATCACCAGGAGACTGAGAGTTCTAGTCCCGCCTTAGGCGTGAAAGCCGGCTGGGTGACTTTGGGCCAATCCCCAGGAAACTGTGACTTCTAGTCCCGCCTTAGGCACCAAAGCCCTACTGGATGACTTTGGGCCAGTCCCTCTCTCTCAGCCCAACCCACCTCACAGGGTTGCTGTTCTGGGCAGAACAGAATGAGTCAGGATTACCAGGTACGTTTGCTTCCTCAAGTGGTTTATAAAATTAATAAAAGGCAGGGTATAAATAATTCAACACGTAATTAAAAACAATACTATTTGAAGTCGCGTAGCTTAACTAGAACGGCACATCATCGTTCTAAGCTCCTTGCACGAATGAGCACTTTTTGACACCCCCCCCACAGCACAAGGACATCTGCAGGTTCCCATCCGGGGCTTTTTACAACCATAAACTGATGACCTGTCCCAATATCGTTCGTGGAAGCAGCATGCTCTACCACCGTAGCGAATACGGATGCACCCCCATCATCTTTGGCCACATCGAGGGCAGAGAGAGGTCGCTCATGGTCTCCACGGAGGAGGGGAACGAGAACTCCAAAGCCAACCTGGAGGAGGTGCAGCACGTGGTGAGTAAGCCTGGACGGGCAGGTGGCCCTCGACTTACCTTCACAGTCGAGCCCAAAATTGTAGTCCGTGTTACCTAGTCCAGGGCTTTTCAACCTTTTCACCCATTGTACCACTTTTAGGATATGGCAACATCCGAGGACTACCAGTCACCTAGCAAGGTGTCAAAAACTTGATGACCCCCCCCAAAAAAGGAAAAAAGTGATAAAGTACAGGTAGTCCTCGACTTACAACAGTTCGCTTAGTGACTGTTCAAAGTTACAATGGCACTGAAAAAGTGCCCCCCCAAGCCATAGCCAAGCAAGACCCCTGCCTGCCCGTCTGGCGGCGCTCTTCCTCCTGTCCGAGGTTTTCATTGTTGTGAGCATTTCAGTTGAGGATTGGCAGTGGGGGTGGGGTGGGGGGTGTGTGTGGTTTTTATTCCCCCCGTCTGCTGGGTGGTTGCAGCAGGTTTTGGTCACTTCACATGACCCTGGGACACTGTGACCGTCAGAAATATGAATCGGTTGCCAAGCATCTGAATGTAAATCACAAGACCCTGGAGAGGCTGCAACATTCCAGCTGATCGGCGCTTCTTCTGGGCTCAGCAGAAGCACCAGGATCAGCGCTGAGCTCCAGCTGGAGCCTGGCACTGATCCTGGCGCTTCCGCTGAGCCCTGACAGCCCCGAAGAAGCGCCGATCAGCTGGAAAGCGGCACTGATCCTGGCGCTTCCGCTGAGCCCTGACAGCCCTGCAGCTCCAGCCGTCTCTGGCTCAGGCTTGTGCGGTGCTGCCACCGGTTCAGCTCATTCCCCTTCCCCCGCTACCACTTTTCTAGGATGGTTGCGTCCCACCTGCCAGGTGCCAATGTACCACAGGTGGTACCCGTACCACTGGTTGAAAAGCCCTGATCTAGACACTGAGAAGGCACAATAGCTCACCCCCCCTCTCCGTGACCGGCAGAGGCAGCTTGCAAGACTTCCATCTCTCAAACTTCCACTCTTGGTTGAGCAGAGTTTCAAGGTCTCCGTGCTTTTTCCCCCCCTTCTAGGTGAGGATCGCAAAGCAGCTGACCCTGGATGGAACCACCAGGCCAGACCAGATCGCCATCCTGACTGGCTACAATGCCCAGGTCACCGAGATCAAGAAGCAACTCGCTCTGTATGGCATGCGAGACGTCACCGTTTGCACCATCATGAAAAGCCAAGGTAAGGGAAGGGGGTAGGTGGCTAAGCCGGATCCGGTTCCCGCGTGAAAATATCGACTGGGACCATCATGGGAAAAAAAATCTCTCTTCCTTTTTTTCAGAATACAGGTAGTCCTTGACGCCCCCAAATTTCCATTGCTAAGCGAGACAGTTGTTAGTTTCACCCAGGGGTCTTCAAACTTGGCCCTTTGATGACTTGTGGACTTCAACTCCCAGAATTCTTCAGCCAGGCACGCGTGCCTGGCTGAGGAATTCTGGGAGTTGAAGTCCACAAGTCATCAAAGGGCCAGGTTTGAAAACCCCTGGATGAACCTATACCAGTGATGGCGAACCTTTCAGAGACCGAGTGCCCAAACTGCAACCCAAAACCCACTTATGCATCGTCGGGTGCCGGGTGGGTGTGGCCTATTGGGTGGGCGTGGCTGTGGTGGTAACGGCAGACTGGGTGGGACTAAAAAGTTCAATCAATCAATTCCAACTTGGTGCAAGATCTTTTTTTTTTCCCGCGAGAAGTTGAAATTGATTGATTGAACTTTTTTTTTTTTTTTTGCACACAGCGGCGGAGGCCTAAAGCGAAAAGGTTTTATAAAACCCAGCTGAAGGCCTAGGACTGGGGCGACGGGGCGCGTGCCCACAGAGAGGGCTCTGAGTGCCGCCTCTGGCACCCGTGCCAGAGGTTCGCCACCACTGACCTATAACAAAACAATCCCTAATCAATGGGACCCATGGCATGCTCTACCTTCCCATCCTGGTGGATCCCCCCCCTATTACATCCAACCGGCCTACCAGGACAGGAAGTCAGGCATGTTACAGGTCCCATCAATTAGGGTTTGTCAGCTGGGAGAACCACAAAACCCAGGCCTTCTCGGTGGTGGCCCCTTTTTTATGGAACTTCATTCACCTTGAGGTATGGTTGGCCCCGTCCCTGCTGCTTTCCGAAAGACCTTAAGAACATGGTTTTGTCAGTGGGCCCGGGGACCCCGAATGGAAATGTACTGTAGCTGATTTGATTGCGTTGTTGCTGCAATCAGATGTGGTGTGGGATTTTCTCAACACCTTTACTATATGGTGGGTTTTTTTAAAAAAATGTTTTCATGTTGTAAGTTGTCCTGGATCAGAATAACACAGTTGTAAGGGACCTTGGAGGTCTTCTAGTCGAATCCCCTGCTCAAGCAGGGAATCCTATACGACCACAGTTGAGCCCAACATTTCTATTGCTAAGTGAGACACTTGTTAAGTGAGTTTTGCCCCATTTTCTCGCCACAGTTGTTAAGAGAATCGCTGCAGTTATTAAGTTAGTAGCATGGTGGTTAAGTGAAAGTAGCTCCCTCATTGACTCGGCTTGTCAGAAGATTGCAACATGTGATCACATGACCCCGGGACACTGCAACCGCCATAAGTACATGCCAGTTGCCAAGCCTCTGAATTTTGATCATGTGACCGTGGGGATGCTGCAATGGTCCTATGAAAAATGGTGCCGTTGTAACTTCGAACAGTCACTAAATGAACTGTTGTAAGTTGGGGAATACTTGTACCATCCTGGTCAAGTGGGCTGTCCAGTCTCTTCTTAAAAACTTCCAGTTGTCGGAGCACCCACAACTTCTGGAGGCAGGTCGTTCCACTGGTTAATTGTTCTCACTGTCAGGAAATTTCTCCTTTGTTCTAAGTTGCTTCTCTGCTTGATTATTTTCCATCACTGAGGTACGAATGGGGCGGCTGTCTACTCGGTTTAATTCATAAGTAAATAAACACAAACTGGGTTCTGTTTTTTGTTGCTTTCCAGGCAGCGAATGGAAATACGTCATCGTGTCCACAGTCCGCTCCTGTAACCGGCAGGAGATTGACGAGAGGCCCACGAAGAGCTGGCACTGTAAACATCTCGGCTTCGTAGCAGATCCAAATCAGATCAATGTCTGTCTCACTCGGGCGCAGGAAGGTCTCTGTATTATAGGTAAGCAAAAGGATGCTGAGCAGGACTCCCCTGCAGAAGGCAGCGGGTCTGGATTCGCACTGTGTCCTAGACCAGAGGGGGCTGAACGTCGGTTGTTTCGAGGAGGCCCACCATCATTTTATCACAGTGATGGGGAACCTTTTAGAGCAGGGATGGCGAACCTTTTAGAGACCGAGTGCCCAAACCGCAACCCCAAACCCACTTATTTATCGCAAAGTGCCAGGGCCGCATCAGCATTGTGGTGCCCTCATGGGGGGGGGCGGCAGGGAGGCCCCTCTGAGTGCCGCCTCTGGCACGCAAAAACCAGGGGCGCAAAAATGGGCCACCCTGCTGCAAGGCGCAAAAAACGGCCGTGCCGTGGGGTGCAGATACAAGGCGCGGCACCATGCCAGAACGGGACAGGGCTAGTGTCACGCAGGCACTAGCCCCGCCCCATTTGCAGCACGGGTGTGCTCACGGCCCCGTGCACGCATGCATGCATGTAAAATGCTTCCCCGTCCCTTTTCTTCCAGTCCACCAATCAACAACCTCTGCTCTACCACCTCTACTCTAGCTTGCTAGTCGGCCGCTTCACCTCCTTTGTGGTGGGCGGGATTCCTGCTCCGGGCGGCAGTGGTGGCCTGAGGCACGTGGCGTTGGCGCATGTGCCAACAGAGAGGGCTCTGAGTGCCGCCTCTGGCACGCATGCCATAGGTTCGCCACCACTGTTTTAGAGACTGAGTGCCCAAAAACTGGCCCTGCTCCTGCTCCACCCACTGCCCTGCCCCTGCCCTGTCCCCCGCCCTGCCTGCCTGCAGGGCCACTCACCGCCTCCAGGGCCCGCCGCAGATTGCCCAGGCAGCCCAGCAGCGCCAATGGTGGCCACGCCCTCTGCCCGCGCCCCGCAGCATCAACTGTGCGCGATGGGAGCATGAGGCAGAGTCTTGTCTACGCTGCCTGGCTGCCATGTCCTTGGCTGCTCTGCTCCGCGTGGGCCACGCTCGGGGGCGACTCTCCTCCAGGGGGGCTGATGGTAAGGGGACCGTGGGGGGAGGCAAGACTGGGGCAACAGCACGTGTGCCCACAGAGAGGGCTCCAAGTGCCGTCTCTGGCATGCGTGCCATAGGTTCGCCACCACTGTTCTAGCATGTTGAGTCAAGCAGCCCATTCCATTAAGGCGGGAAATGGTTTACATGTTGTCTTGTGATTATTTGGAAGTTAGAACAGAATAACAGAGTTGGAAGGGACTTTGGAGGTCATCTAGTCCAACCCCCTGCTCAGGCAGGAGACCCTATACCATTTCAGACAAATGGCTGTCCAATCTCTTCTTAAAAGCCTCCAGTGTTGGTAGTTCCCACGACTTCCTGAGGCAAGCAGTTCCACTGGTTAATTGTTCTGTCAGGAAGTTTCTCCTTAGTTCCAGGTTGCTTCTCTCTTTGGTTAGTTTCCATCCGTTGCTTCTTGTCCTGCCTTCAGGCGCTCTGGAGGCTAGCTTGACTCCCTCTTCTTTGGGGCAGCCCCTGGTTTTGCCATTCTTGAACTGGTTGATTCTGCCATTCTGCGGATCACATCATCCCAAGTGCAATTTCCTTTGGAACTATTTCACAGTTTGTTTTATTTTATTATTTCATTTTATTTATTGATTGATTTATTTATTTTATATGTATTTAACCTTTATTTTATATTTTATTTTATTATTTATCTCTTACCTTTATTTTTTATAAACATCTCAAGGTAGTGAAGATACTTAATACTCCTTCCTCCTTCTATTTTTCCCCACAACAATCCTGTGAGGTAGATTGGGGTGGATTGGCCCAAAGTCACCCAACCAGCTTTCATGTCCTATGGCAGAACTAGAACTCACCCTCTCCTGGTGATTGGCCCAAAGTCACCCAGCCGGCTTTCATGCCCTAAGACAGGACTAGAACTCACCATGTTCATCAATGATTTGGACGAGGGGATAAATGGGAAAATCATCAAATTTGCGGATGACACCAAGCTGGCAGGAATAGCCAACACTCCAGAAGACAGGCTTAGGATACAGGAGGACCTGGACAGACTTGAACACGGCACTATCTAACAAAATGAAATTCAATGGTGAAAAAAGTAAGGTTCTACATTTAGGCAAGAAAAACCAAATGTACAGGTATAGTATAGGGGGTACCTTGCTCAATAGTAGTAACTGTGAGAGGGACCTCGGAGTCCTAGTGGACAATCCCTTAAATATGAGCCAGCCTTGTGCTGCAGCTGCCAAAAAGGCCAACACAGTGCTAGGCTGCATTAACAGAGGGATAGAATCAAGATCACGTGAAGTGTTGATACCACTTTACAAGGCCTTAGTAAGGCCACACTTGGAATATGGCATCCAGTTTTGGTCACCGCGATGTAAAAAAGCTGCTGAGACTCTAGAAAGCGCAGAGAAGAGCGACAAAGATGATTAGGGGACTGGAGGCTAAAACATACAAGGAAAGGTTGCTGGAATTGGGTATGTCTAGTTTAACGAAGAGAAGGACGAGGGAGGACATGATAGCAGTCTTCCAATATCTCAGGGGCTGCCCCAAAGAAGAGGGAGTCAAGCTATTCTCCAAAGTGCCTGAAGGCAGGACAAGAAGCAACGGGTGGAATCTAAGCAAGGAGAGAAGCAACCTGGAATTAAGGAGAAATTTCCTGACAGTTAGAACAATTAACCGGTGGAACAACCTGCCTCCAGAAGCAGTGAATGGTCCAACACTGGAAGTTTTCAAGAAGAGACTGGACAGCCATTTGTCTGAAATGGTATAGGGTGTCCTGCTTGAGCAGGGGGTTGGACTAGATGACCTCCAAGGTCCCTTCCAACTTTATTATTATTGTTGTTGTTGTTGTTATTGTTATTATTGTTATTGTTATCTCCTGGTGATTGACCCAAAGTCTTGGTCCATTTTGGTCAAATAAAACCCTTCCATTTTCCTGCCTTTCTCTCCTGCTTGTAGGAAACAGCTATCTTCTTGGGACCCATCCTTTGTGGTCGGAACTTCTGTTTCATTACAAGTTGTGTGGATGCTTTACCTCAGCCGGCGAAATTAAGATTAAGAAGAGGACCAGTCTTCGCTTGTAAGAAGGCACTACGGGAAAATTCCTTCTTTCTTTTTAATCTCCTGGGCACGGAGGCCGTGCCCAAATTCCAGGAGATGGCATTTGCCAACACTGAGCCAAAATCTAGAGCCTGGTGGCTGAGGAGACATTGCCAGAAAAAAAAGAGGAGGAAAAAAAAAACACAGCATGACATTTTCAGGATCCGATGCCAAGAGAAGATTTTGCCTTCCTCGGGGATGGGGGGAAAAAAAAAAAGCCATCTCTGAAAACAACATTTTTAGCATTCAGAAACCTTTTAGAAAAACGACTTCGGTTGGGGGATTTAATAAGATGCTGTTGAAGAACGAAGCGACTGGTGCACAACGAGCCTGCGAGGAGGGGCTTGCAATGCAGGGATGGAGGAAAACTGTGCCGCCGAAGAGCAGGGCTCCGGCTGCACTTTTGAAAACCAGATCTTTTGAAGGAAGATCAAAAACCCGCCTCTGACTTCCCTTGCAATGCCAATAATCCACCCTCCTCCCCTCGACCTGGAACGTTTTTTGTACAGATTTTTAATTTTTTTATTTTTTTTAGCCTGGCTACCTTTTACTTGAAATAACTTCTTTGTGTGCTAGTTATTTTTTTAATGTGCTGCTTTTTTAAAAAAAACATCCAGAAACAAAACGAAGAACCACAGAACTGGGGGTGCGCGCTGTTTGATCTAGCAAAACCCTGAGTCCTCGGGGTCAGATCGCTGCGTTTTTCTCTCTCCACCTTTTTAGCCAAAGTGAGATCCTCACCTCTGCTGGCCTTGAACCCGGAACAGGAAAAAAACTTCATGCAATAACGTCTTGTTTTGTGCTGAACTTCCAGCTCAGTGAGTTTTGATGCCTGCAATGGAGAGGAAAAAAACAACACCAAATTAATTTAGGTGGACTCAGTCTGGTGAGCATTGGTGGCGATGAACCCCTGCTTAGAAAGCTGCTCCAAGCTTGTATATATAAAGTAGTAGTGCCTAGTGACGCTCAATGAACTTGTTCACACAAAGTGCTTATCCAAGTCAGTTGCAAAGCGAGGATTTTGCACAATGGGCTAAGCCTTTTTTTAAATTAGCTTTAACCTTAATGCTGTCAGGAAAGTGTGGTTTACTGCAAGGGTGGATCATTAGGTGCCCTCCAGAAGTTTTGGACTGCAACTGCACTGAACTCAGGGGTCTTTGGTGCTCTCTCAGCTTGGCGGTTTTCTTGCAGACGTTTCATGACCAGACTAGGTAACGTCATCAGTGCTAGAAGGGAATGGGGTGTGTGGAGAGGAGGAAGAGGACTGTGGAGTCCTTGGTGCTCTCTCAGCTGGGTTGTTTTCCGCAGATGTTTTGCTACCAGACTAGGTAACGTTATTAATGCTAGAAGGGGACGAGAGCAAACATCACTCCCTGAGAGCACTGATGATGTTACCTAGCTGGGTCATGAAACGTCTGCAACAAAACCACCAAACTCGGAGAGCACCAAGGACCCCCTCATTTCAACCCTGATATTCTCCTGTATTGGTGACCCAACTCAGGTTGGCAAAGGGTTGTGGGCATCACAGCCAGAGCCGTTGTAGAGATGCCTCAAGGACATCACACGTATTGTGTTGTCCTTGTGTAACTGGTACACCTGCTGCCCTTGTTTCTATCTGCACCCACAGTTGTAGTCCCAAACATCTGGAAGTTACCGTGGTACTTTCTTTCTGACCAACATGCATTGCACTTTTTTAAAACCTGGATTGAATGTATTATAAGGGGGGGTTGGGTTGAAAAATGAGTGTTCCCGTCCCACCTGATCACAGATCTCAAAAATCCGGCTTGAAACTAGATGCAAACGTGGATTTAGCTGACAATTGCAAAGCAATTTTGCTGAATCTGGTGATTGGGGGATCTCTGGGCGCACACATCATCCTTGGTTTGAACCCGGGGCTAGCTCTAATACAGATATATTCTATAATAATGTAATATATAAGGGCAGCTGGGCTCCTTCTACAGTACTAACACCGTGTGAATGTGTGTAGTGATGGTTGTTGCATTATCCTTTTGTCGTTCTGCAACTGATACTGTTCCTTTTTTTCTTGCCTTGCATCTAATTTTTGCAATATATGGAATTACGGGGAAAGGGGAACGCCTTAGAATTCTGCATAGAGCTTGTCTAGTTGTGGGCCCGCTAGAAACTTATGATAGTAGCCTATTTCCCCTTTTTTTTCTTTTGGCCTTATTATCAGGGATCTTGATAGCAATCAAGGGGAGACTGAGGCAGCCCTCTTTCTCCGCTCCTCTACCTCAGTCCTGTTAAATGTGAACGCTTTTAAAAGTTTGTGCCCTCACTCATGCTGATCCACTTAGTTTGGAATAAAAGTGAGTTTTTTGAGTGAAAAATCCGTATTCGTAAAGAAAGCACAGATTAGTCCAAAGATGCAGCCAAATTATATTGAGCCAGCCTTTGAACTATGAACATTCCTATTTTTGTTTTACTAAATGTCTTGTTTGGCAGAAAGAAAGAAAGAAAGAAAGAAAGAAAGAAAGAAAGAAAGAAAGAAAGAAAGAAAGAAAGAAAGAATCATTTCTATCTAAAAACTATAATTCCCATACCAACTGTCTTAGCCATAAGGAAGAAAGAGAATCACTTCTAAAGAAAAAACTATAATTCCCACGCCTACTATCTTAGCATAAGAAAGGAAGGGAGGAAGGAAGAACGAATGTTCCAAACAAAAACTCTTAATTCCCACATGTACTATAATTCCCATACCTACTTTCTTGGCATTAGTCATCAGAAAAGAGACTTCTAAAGAAAAAAACTATAATTCCCATACCTACTTTCTTAGCATTAGTCAAGAAAGAGACTTCTAATGAAAAACTATAATTCCCAAACCTACCTTCTTAGCATTAGTTATCAAGAAAGAAAGAGACTTCTAATGAAAAACTATAATTCCCAAATCTACTTTCTTAGCATGAATCATCAGGAAATAAAGGGAAAGAATAACATCTATCTAAAAACTATAATTCCCACGCCTACTGTCTTAGCATAAGAAAGGAAGGAAGAGAAAGAAAGAAAGAAAGAAAAAGAATGTTCCAAACAAAAACTCTTTAATTCCCACATGTACTATAATTCCCATACCTACTTTCTTAGCATTAGTCATCAGGAAAGAGACTTCTAAAGAAAAAACTATAATTCCCAAACCTACCTTCTTAGCATTAATCAAGAAAGAGACTTCTAATGAAAAACTATAATTCCCAAATCTACTTTCTTAGCATTAATCATCAAGAAACAAAGAAAAAAATCACATCTATCTAAAAACTATAATTCCCACGCCTACTGTCTTAGCATAAGGAAGGAAGAGAAAGAAAAAGAATGTTCCAAACAAAAACTCTTAATTCCCACATGTACTATAATTCCCATACCTACTTTCTTAGCATTAGTCAAGAAAGAGACTTCTAATGAAAAACTATAATTCCCAAACCTACCTTCTTAGCATTAATCAAGAAAAAGAGAGACTTCGAATGAAAAACGATAATTCCCACACCTATTTTCTTAGCATTAGTCATCAAGAAACAAAGAGAAAGAATCACATCTATCTAAAAACCATAATTCCCACGCCTAGTGTCTTAGGATAAGAAAGGAAGGAAGGGAAGAAAGAAAGAACACTTCTAAACAAAACTATAATTCCCGTGACTGTCTGCTTACAGGTGACCCTTGTTCACCCCAGGGAATTAAGCAGTTTTTCTCCGTTTTCAATCCCAATCTTTGTCCTCTCCCGTCTCTCAGTTTCCTCGGTACCAACTTCACCTCTACTCCGTCTTTCCGCTGAGACACCACTCTAGTTCCCTTCAAAGCGTCTGTCTTCGACAGCGTCACCCAGTTTTGACGATGGCCTCTTCCTCTTTCCTCGGACTTTGCTGCGTAATCCTGCTGGTGCCGGATGCAGGTAGCCCTCGACTTATTGACCGTTCTGATTTATAACTAACCCCGGATCCGAAGTTCCGGCGGTCCTCCCCCCCAACCCTGTAGTCGCAGGACTGCACTCCGAGCCCTTGGCGGCACGGCCCTGTTTACGTCCGTTTGCGGTGTCCTGCAGTTACGCGACTGCGTTTTATGACGATTTTCGCCCAAGCCCGGCACTGATTTCGGGTTTTCGGCAAAACCGCGCCCTAGTGAACGGGCTCGCTTAACGATTGCCACGTTCCTTTAATGACTACCACAAAGACGGTCTAAAACGGGGAGGCTCCCATTACGGTCGTAACTCGAGGACTACCTATAAATTCTGCCACGGGCACGGTGAAGCAGCATCGCCCTTCAAGTGGGTCCATTCGAACATTTCCATGACAATCTTTGGAGCTTGGCCCCCCCCCAGAATTTAGTCCTGGAGGACCACTTGGCACCCCCCCCCAAATGTCTTGCCCTTTGTCTGGCCAGATGACCCCAAGTTCTGATTAGTGTCCTTATTAAATATGGCTGACATTTCGCCGTGTCTCATTGGACCAGTCTTGGGGGCTGGCGGAGTTACAAGAGGCTTTTTCTAGAACGGGGGGAGGGGGGGGGAGATCCAACCTTGGCACCTTTAAGACTGGTGGACTTCAACTCCCAGAATTCCCCAGCGGGCACTGTCACTTTTTCACTTAGTGACAGCTTTGCTTAACAATGGAATAGCCGGTCCCTAAATGAGACTATATGTTAACGTCCCCATCGGCTGGCAAAGTTTAACTAGAACTCAGGAGAAACTTCCTGACAGTTAGAACAATTAACCAGTGGAACAACCTGCCTCCAGAAGCAGCGAATGCTCCAACACTGGAAGTTTTTAAGAAGAGACTGGACAGCCATTTGTCTGAAATGGTATAGGGTTTCCTGCCTGAGCAGGGGGTTGGACTAGATGACCTCCAAGGTCCCTTCCAACTTTATCATCATCATTATTATTATTATTAACTGTTCCACGTGGCAAATTCAAGAAATGTCTAGTTGGCAGCCACTGAGCCTTGCCCACGTGCCACTGAATTTAATGGGGAGCGTGGAAAGGAACCCACACGCTGTATTGTACAACTCCTACACATTTCAGAATCACAGAATCACAAGAGTTGGAAGGGACCTTGGAGGTCTTCTAGTCCAGCCCCATGCTCCGGCAGGAAACTCTATCCCATTTCAGACAAATTTCAAAAGAGTTTTAAAGAGGAAAAAGTAGTTTTCATGGTTAAGTGGCCAAAGCTAGAGTGCATTTTATTTCTGTAAGCTCATCTCTCCGAATGAGTTGGGCAGCCATCTAAATTTTCTTAATGAATAAATGCATCGATATAAATTGGATGTTGAAAAGTTCAGGGAAATCACATTTAATCTTGGGAGACCAGGGCCTGCAATGAATCCCTATCCCCTGTACTGTTCACCCACTTAAGATACCAGAGCTATATTTCTTTAAAGAAAATATTCCACGTGGGAGTACGAATTATACTTCTTACCAGGGCATTTGTGGGGGTGGTGAGGTCAAAAAAGTCAAGATGGTGCTTCCAGCCATGCAGATCCTTTTTTTATACCCTGTGGAGTTGGCACCTTGATTTATTTTGACAAGCAAATTTTTATTACAGGTAGACCTTGACATATGACCGTAACGGAGTCTGCACGTGAAGGTTGTATGTCAGGTCAGTCATGTGACTGATGTGATTTTTGACCATTTTTTTTCACTGGTCATTAAGCGAACACCTCCGTTGTTAAGTGAACCCATTGATTGCTAGGGAGCGGTTTTGCTGAAAACCAGAAATAACGTCCGGTTTTCAGCAAAGGGTGGTCATGTGTCCGTGGGATGCTACAAATGACATACATGCCGCCATATTGGTGGGTGCCTGAAATGCAGTCACATGACCATGGGGGGGGGGCGTGGCCGTCAGAACTTTGGAACCAGGTTGTAACTCTTTGTTACTTATGACCATAAGTTGAGAACTACCGTATTTTGTGGATATTTCTCCTTAAAATAAAAAATACAATAAAGATATTTCTGAAACTATTTTAACATGATGGCATTGATTTTAAATCCCAGGGGAAAAAGCGATAGGAAAGCCTGATTAAGTGCCATTATAAAGAACTGGATCTCTTTGTTTGCCATGATCTGTTGGTCCTGTCCTGCTGGATTTGTCCTAAAACACTGTTTGAAATGGGTCGAAACATTTCCAGGTTGTTTTGTGTCCTTTTTGTATGTTTAAAGAAAGATTTTAAAAGGCTATCTTTAATTAGTGAGTTCTATAGTATTTGTTTACTGGAGTCTATTTTTATGATGTATTGTAATCTTTTTAAAAAAAACACACACACAAAATCAATGGATTTGCATGTAAATTGCCTCCTCTTGAACTTTTTGGAGAGATTTGATATCTGTAAATCATGGCTTTTTAGTCCTCTGGATTATTTTTTTAATGATAAGGGTCTTAAAAATATCTGCTGTTTATAGATACATCAACATTCCTCTTTAATCAAATGTGACACTGGTTGTACTGTACCAAATAAAATTCTTTCTGACTCTGAATTCTGATTGCATTAGGTATGTGTGTGTGTTTGTGTGGGTATGTTTGTGTGAGAGAGAGACCACGTGATTGGACCCAATTTTACAACTGTGTTTAAGCGTTAAGCGAATCATGTAGGAATAAGTCAAAATCACACAGTCATTAAGCGTATCACACAGTCATAAATCTGAATCCATTCCCTTGAATGGGTGTTTCAGGAAACTAGCTGAAATGTTGCAAATTGTGATGATTTAATCATAAATAAGTGCCAAAAATATGATTGTGTAACTGTTTCTTTTACTTGTTCTTCCTCCATCTTTAAATTTAACAGGAATCTATAGAGTTTCTTGATCAACTTTTCATCTGTTTTTAACAGTATCTGATCAAAGTCTGTCTGTTCTTTATAAAATCCCGTTTTAACATCTTTTTCATATCTCGTTTGAATTTGCAGATATGGCCACCATGCTAAATCAATACCTTGTTCTTGTAATTCTTGTCTGTCTTTCAATTTTCCTTCATTGTCCAAAATATCTTTATAAGTCACAACTTTATTGTAGTTAATTACATTTGGGTAAGTAAAACCTTCCATTGTTGAAAGCCATTCAGGTATCTTAATATAAATGCTTTCTGAGGCATCATTAACTCCAAACGGTCGTAAGCCGAGGGCTACATATACCGTATACTGCTCAGGACTGTAAGATAGTTCAGGATGCCTATGCCCAAAACACACTGAAGGTAAGAAAGAGTTTAGTAACACACAAGGGAGGGCCAGGAACTGCATGGCAATTAAAATTATAATCCATTGTGTATAGTTAACGATAGATGGTTTGAACCCCAGCTATATATATATATATAGGTACTCCTTGAGTCAACAACCGTTTAGTGACTGAAGCTACAACTGATAATATAACCGATAATTTCCCAAAAGGATGAAGTCCATCATATCTTTGAGTTTTAATTGGATGCACAAATCCTTTTCTCTTTTTCCTTCCTTCTTAAGCCATCTAGAATTATTTGGCCGTTGGGCAGCCTTATAAATTTATTTAGCAAATGCATAGATCAGAGATCCCCAATCTTTTGGGCACCAGGGACCGGTTACGTGGAGAGAGGTTTTTCTGCCGACTGCAGGGTGCGTGGTTTTGTGTGCTGCCTGCATCCCATGGACGGTGCTTTGCTTGTTTGTGTGGACCGGTTGCTGGCGTGCCGTGGCCCACTACCAGTCCACAGAGCGAGGGTTGGGGACCCCTGGCATAGATAACATACATTCGCCTGGTGGTCAGTGTTAATGAATTTCTCGGAAGAGAGCTAGGCTAGATTTGAGATATGTACCTCGGTATTGCAGATAGTCAACTTGCAATCATTCATTTAGCGACCGTTCGAAGTTACGATGGCACTGAACAAAGTGACTTAACAACTGGTCCTTAGTACTTCTGATCGCCACAGCATCCCAAGATCAAAATTTGGGCGCTTAGCCACCAGCGTGTATTTAAGAGAGTTGCAGTATCATGAGATCACAATTTATGACCTTCCCAACCGGCTTTCGACAAGCAAAATCCATGGAGGAAGCTGGATTCGCTTAACGACGGCATGATTCGCTTAACAACCCTACAGGAGACACTGTAATTCACGAACCCTGCAACTAGAGAGCTAGGTCCCTCCAAAGGCTACAGAATCTGGAATGGCATGTGCGAATGGCCTTGGGAAACGGGGAGGAAGAACCACAGACTAGGCAGCAATCAGATAAGAGGCAGCTGAGCCCAGCAAAGGAAAAAAGGCGTGGCAAACATCTGAAGAAGGGACCCTCCCTAATTTCTTGGGATGTAAATGTGAGGGGGAAATTATGGACTTCCATACTTGCAAGAATCTGGTAATGTAACTTTACAATAAAGCAAATCTAGTACTCCTGGGTGTGTGTGAGTTCTAGTTCTACTTTAGGTATGAATTCCAGATGGGTGGTAGTTGAGTTCTAGTTCCAACTTAGGCATGAAAGCTGGCTGGGTGGCTTTGGCCAATCAGCAGGAGACTGAGCGGTCTAGTCCTGCCTTAGTCTTGAAAGCCAGCTGGGTCAGAGGTCACGAACCTTTTCATGCTGGCAGCCCGGAGGGAAAGGGAGCAGCTGGGAAATTTGTGCATATGCGTGCACGCGCCTGAACGGACCTATGCGCAAATGGGGCCATGCGCAACCACGCGGGGCTAGCGGCCCATTTGCGCAGGCCCATAGGCGCTAGCTGCCAACGCTAGCACCCACGTGCATGCGCAAATGGGCCACGCAATCTGCACGGGGCTAGCGGCCCCATTTGCGCAGGTGTGCAGGCGCTAACCACTGCCACTAGCAACTGTGCGCAAGACCAAACGGGCCCATAACCCCCGCGTGCACTAGCGGCCCCATTTGCACAGGCGCTAGCCGCTGCCTCTAGCACCATGTGCATGCGCAAATGGGTCTGCACACTGTCTAGCCTGTCCCGCGGCCCAGTGGCCAGTAGCCCTTGGTTGGGGACCCCAGAGCTAGCTGGTTTTAGGCCAATTACTAGGACACTGTGAGTTCCAGTCCTGCCTTAGGCATGAAACTGGATGAGTATTTTTGGGCCGATCACCAGGAGATGGTGAGTTCTACTCCCGCCTTAGACATGAAAGCCAGCTGGGAGATTTTGGGCCAATCACCAGGAATCTGTGAGTTCTAGTCCCACCTTAAGCATGAAACTGGATGAGTATATTTTGGCCAATCACCAGGAGACGGTGAGTTCTAGTCCCGCCTTAGACATGAAAGCTGGCTGGGTGACTTTGGGCCAATCAGCAGGAGATTCTGAGTTCTATTCCCTCCTTAGGCATGAAAGCCGATGCTCACAGCAATGCTCGCGCGAGAGGGGCTGCGAACACCCACGACGCTCGTGCAAGTGGGGCTCCGATGCTCACAGCAATTCTCGTGCGAGTGGGGCTGCGAACGCCCATGATGCGGGCACAAGTGGGGCCGCAAACACTCGCAGTGATGCTCGCACAAGTGGGGCTGTGCACGTACGTATATGCAGGCACACTGGCCAGCCACTCATGTGGCCCGGTATAGTGGACCGCAGACTACAGGTTGGGGACCCCTGCCCGATACCATTTCAGACAAGTGGCTGTCCAGTCTCAGCAACGCAAATTTGGGGTTCAGTTGCGGCAGCAAGTTTGAGAACTACCTGTCTTCCCACAAAGAAGGAGCGGGTGCTTTGATGCCGTGCTTTTTTAAAAATAAGGGTTTTGTTTTTAATCTGGCTTATTTTTACACCCCTGGGGAATGGCTAAGGTGGGAAAATCAGGGTTGTGTGGTGGTCTCTCCGTTGCTTTCGGCAAGATACGGTTTAGTCTTAAGCAGTAGGGAATCGTGCCACGGTTCGTAAACAAGCGTGTAGGTTTCCGCTCTTCGGACGGTGAACCTGTACAAGCAGTCGGGCAACAAGTTGTGGATTTCACACGTGTGGGAGGTGACCGGCATAATTCCACACTGGACTCGCTCTTGAGGCGTTCTGGGCTCCAACAGCCGAAAGTGGAGTTCAAACTGGTCAAGCTGGGACTGCTGGCTGGTGACCAACCATTTGAGGCTGACCCAGTCTTCGTGAGCCACGGATTCCCTCCGGTCAAACATCACCGGCATCTTGGTGCTGAGGACTAGTCTGATGTGTGGGATTTTGGTGATCCCAACGTCGGAGACCAGCCGGTGTTTGATGTACAACCTTCCGGGGACCAGTATGGCCAGGAAGTAATCCATCTGTTCCGAAAGTCTGGAGAGCTTCTGCCTGACCGTGTCCCACCTGGAAAGGAACGTCATCATGTCGCAGTTCTCCAGAAGTTGGACCAGCTCCTCCCGACCTCTCTCTAATTCTTCTAGCAGGTCAGACAGGAGCAGCAGCTGAATCTTGGTCTGGATGGTGCCCACTTTTTTCATCCTTTGGAACCGCCAAGGATCGATCAGCTGGAACATGGTGGTGGGAAGCATCAGGTGGTTCTGATCGCCCAGGGCCAGGTGCTTGGGCAGGATTTCGAGGTAGTAGGAGCACTTCTTGAGAAGCTCGATCCGTTTGTGATGGCGTCGGAGCAGGTGCAGGCTCAGATCCGTGTGCAGGAATTCCAGCACCACGTTCTTCCTCTCCGAGGAGATGCGCCAAGCTTCGTTCTCCGGCTCTTCGTCGTGGTACGCCATGGTTGGGAGGTTGGCTCCTAACTTGTTCAAGTAGACGTCAGTCATTCCAATGTTCATCCTACCTGGGCTGGAAGAATAGAATAGAAACAGAGTTGGTAGGGACCTTGGGGGTCTTCTAGTGCAGAGGTCTCCAACCTTTGGGGTGTTGTGATTCCTCACCAGCCAGTGGACCCAGCAGCTGAGTCTGAGGAATCAGAGGAGGAGGAGGAGAAGGGGCCTGGAGTGACATCAGAGTCAGAGGAAGGCTCTGAGGAGCGCCAAGACTTACAGTCTAACGAGGAGCCTGGCCCCTCTACTCGCGCTCAGCCTGAGACACAACTGTAGTGGGAGTCTGAATTGGACAGTGATGAAGAACAGCTGGGACAAATCCCGGATGCACGAAAGCGCAGGAAAGAGAAGCAAGTAGGACAGAGGAATGCAATGAGGCGGCTCCAAAGGCAAAGGAGAAGGCATTAGGAAGCTACGCCTGGGCTGAATTATAAAAGGGAAGGTGTGGGAGGTGCTGATTGCCGAAGGCAACTGTTTGTGTTGAGGATCGAGTTTCTGTGATCCCCCTTTGTGACCTTCTTACAAGCAAAATCAAGGGGGAAACCACATTCACTTAACAACTGGGTTAGTAACTTAACTGCTGCAGCGTTTCCCTTAACAACAGTGGCACAAAATGGGGCAAAATTCACTTGGCAATGATTCACTTGGCAACAAAAATTTTGGGGCTCCACTGTGGTCGTACGTCAAGGATTACCTGTATATATGCAGTTAGTCCTCGAGTTACAACAGTTCATTCAGTGACCGTTCAAAGTTACAACGGCTCTGAAAAAAGGGACTTGCGGCCGTTTTTCACAGGTACAACCATCGAAGCCTCCGCAGGGTCACGCGATCAAAATTCAAAGGCTTGAAAACTGGCATGTACTTATGACAGTTGCAGGGTCCCCTTTTGTGAGCCTCTGACAAGCAAAGTCCATGGGGAAGCCAGATTCACTTAACAATCGTGTGACTAACGTAAACAACTGCAGTGATTC